CCCATTACCCATAGTCCCATTACCCATAGTCCCATTACCCATAGTCCCATTACCCATAGTCCCATTACCCATAGTCCCATTACCCGTAGTCCCATTACCCATAGTCCCATTACCCGCAGCTCAAGATTGGCATGGAACTCACATTCATATCCCCTTTTTGCTCTAATATGTGTGCGGCTTTGGATGGAATTTGTGATGTAGATAAAAGTTATTTATGAATTTTATATCATCGTTGATATTCTAAACATGATTCTTGAATATTTTTGCAGACTTATACTTCTTCTCTTGTGCTGTATATTGTTCCATAGAAACTAGTTCCATAGCTTTAGTGAGAGTGCTTGCAGCATTTTACTTCATTATATATCGAGTCTGAAACCAAGACACGGAATGACGGTGCTGAAGATTTTTTGTGGTTCGGTTGGCAAAATATGTGGCCTTGGAACAGCCGAAGAAATAGGTATAACGTGAGGAGCTGGAACTACTCCTTGGAACAGACGAAGAAATAGGAGTAACATACGGAGCTGGAACAGCCGAAGAAATAGGTATAACATGAGGAACTGGAACAGCCACTTGGAACAGCCGAAAAAATAGGAATATATATGATTAGGAGTTGGAACAACCAAAGAAACGGGAATAGTATGTGAACTAGGAACAACCGAAAAATTAATATACAGTATTATAAAAACTTATACCAGGCTAAAATAACGCATGAACTTGGGATGGACAAACAGACGAGAATTTTGTGTTTACTAAATTAGAATAGAGACAGAAATGGACTCAAGTTAGACGTGGGAACAGCCAAGAAAATGTGTGAACTTTGAATAGCCAAAGAAATCGGAATATATTACAGAAGAGACCGTTCGTTCGCCAACTCGCAGTACAGACTCCAGTATTTGAAACTCAGATAGCCTTCAGCAAATTATTAGTAAAACGAGGTTAAAAACTACACAGGGAAGCTAACAACTAAATGAAGTATATATTCAAATAATACACATGCAGTTATACATGCGTCGATTGAGGCTTCAACAACGTGTGTTTCGCATGTCAACCTTTTTTGGGGGTTTTGCCAGGCTCTGGACAGACATGTTTTTGTGTGATGCCCTGTATAGTTATTAGGGAACTCCGTAAGATGAATGTACGTTATTCCTTTGTAAAAACTCTTCTCTTATTTCTGCAACTCTCGTGATGTTTGGTAAAACCCATCGCGTTGCTCTTGCAAAAAGCGGAGTTACAAAAACAAAAATAACTACCGTAAGAACGTGGCACGAATGCACATAAGTGGCCAGTCTAATCCTTCAGTAATAGTAATAACGAATACTGTGGAAATTTAGAATGAATACTGAATAATTAGAAATATATAGAATTAATAGTGAATAATGAGACAATATATAATATTAATACTGAATAATGAGAAAAAATATAGAATGAATGCTGAATAATGAGAATAAAACAGCATGATCAGGTCGCAAAAAAATTTTTGCAAAACTTCGTACGGTCCGTTTGAAAATGGATACGACGATGGTAACACAATCCGTATGCTAATGTCCGTTAGTACATCGCACTACCAGTATGAAAATGCATGCGTTTATCGCGCTATCGGTGTGAAAATTCCAATAAAAATATCGCGCTATCCGTATGAAAATGCCTATAAAGGCATCGATCCCTCCGTTTAAAAATTCAAGCAAAGATCTCGCACCAACCTTAAGCTCGATATCGACGTGCCTAGTAAGATATTCAATACATGACATATAGATAAAATACCCCTTCGCTCCGTAGAAGCATTGAATATAGAATTTTGTTAAATTTTTATCTATGAACTTCATCACTGAAAAATTGTTACATAAGTAGGTAAAGCGTAATTTTAATTTCCAAGGTTTACTTGTACCTCTAACTTGAATTTCCTACATGCTGCGTGCAAACCAAAGACACCAATTAAAGTCTTCTTTTATCATACTTTTCATCACACCAAACCTTCGTGAGATTTTCATCATTTTATCTTAGTTCCGATGATGGTTGTTAAATGGACTAATGCCTTAAATGAAACTATATTTTTAAATAGACTAATGCCTGAAATAAAGGTATAGTATTAAATAGACTAATGCCTGAAATAAAGGTATAGTGTTAAATAGACTAATGTTACTTTCAAGAAGCCTCGCATATATCATGCTTAACGAAGGTCAAGGTGTTGGAAAAAAAATTTCCGCGAATACCTGCGGGTTGAG